TTCGCTTCTTTCAGATTCATTATCTTCTTCATACATGCACGTCTAGGTATCCGAGTACTCTTGACCCTACCCTCTTCGAGCAATTTGCTCACATGGTCTTCGAAAGTTAGTCTCGGTCTACCTCGACACCTTTTAATATTAACTTTCGCGCTATATATTTTCTTCACCATTCGGTCTTTACTCATTCGCTCAACGTGCCCAAACCACCGAAGCACGCCCTTATCAATTTTTGTGATAAGGTCATCTTTCAAACCTGCCATATTGCGAATCTCTTCGTTTCGCTTTCGGTCGGCCATAGTAACGCCGCACATTTTACGAAGAGATCGCATCTCCACTGCATTCAACTTACTTTTATGCTTCTTCTGGCATACCCAGGTTTCGCTGCCATATAACAAAGTCGGTACCAACACTGCGTTATGTATTGCAAGGCGTGCACTCTTCGCTACGCCTTGCCTTTTGACTAACGCAGTCAGGGCACCATTGACTTTGTTCCCGGCAGCGACACGCCTGTCCACATCTAAATCACATCTTCCATCCCGGCTAAAAGCACTCCCCAAGTATACAATTTCATTTATATAAATTAAATTAATATTATTTATATAATTAAATTTAAATATTTATTCCTTTAAAAAAAATTGGATATAGCTCTTATGAAATCAAGATTATGTAGAAATATAATGTGTTTTTTATTTGTTGATATATCTTTTAAATAAAAGTAGATAGCTCCTAAAAACCGCACAAATAACGACTAGCGCGACATTTTGCTCAACCTGCGCCTTAAGCGATAACTTAGTTTTTCCGCAATTTGATGGACCGCATACAATACTATGTATCGTATTTAGCAATAAGCTCCTATGACGTTTAACCTTATTTTTTGGTGCAGGACAGATACATTCTAATTTAAGTGATTCTTTTTGTTTGAGAAATTTCATAACAGTTTTGTTAACTTGTCCGTATTGGCTGATAGGTTTTAATGAACTAACGTTATTTCAATCGTGTTAATAATTTAAAAACTTGAAAAAGTTGCTGAAGATTAACTTAATCATCAGCTTTAGTTCAAAAGCATTTTTTTTTATATAGGATAGGGTGACAAACGAGCACACAGTCCTCCTGATGGCAAGTGGTTGCTGTGGCCCATAGACATACACCTATCTACACCTATCCTCGTTTGCAAATCAAAATGCAGATGCGTTGTCACCCTTGAGGATTAAGATGGAATTCTTCTTTTTCCAGTAAAAAGGGTCTCCGGTTCTCTACACTCATCATACGAAACACAGCAGCGTTAAGCTGCTATTTTACGCTGGTATTCTGTGAGAGCATGGTCCTTCCCCGGTCGAGCCGACCCATTCGTGCTACAACTATACTACTAATATAGCTGCAGCATGGCTCTACCATGTAAAAGCATTCACTCACTCTTGCTTCGCTCAAGCTATGTGCCCACTGAAGACCATAATTCTCTCAAGTATATGTCCAAATTCTTTTTTAGTCTAACCAAATTAGTACCTACATGCTTGCAAATTTCTATATTAAATCAATTTATTTAACCAATGGTGGGTGATCGCAATTGATCTAGCGGTTTGTACTACGAGTGAGCTACAAAGCCTGATGACTGTGGTTTGATTCCCATCCAGTATAAAAATGAGGGTGCCTGAACAAATGAAAACATTCGTATATACTGTTGGAGACCTTTTTTTTTCTTCTTCTTTTTTCTATGTGTAACTAGCGAGCATTAGCGGTTCAGGCAATCTATTATGATTGAGTAACAAACATAAAAAAAAACATCTAACTTACACTTTATGTTTATGTTATTAATTTGTTTTTTTTATAGAATAAGGTGACAAACGAGCGCGCAGTCTACCTGATGGTAAGTGGTTGCTGTGGCCCATAGACATCTACATCTATCTTCGGAGCGAATCAAAATGCAGATGAGTTGTCACCCGTGAGGAATAAGATGGAATGCCTCTTTTCCAGTAAAATGGGTCTCCGGTTCTCTACACTCACCATACGAAATACAGCAGCATTAAGCTGATATTTTACGCTGGTATTCTGTGAGAGCGTGGTTCTTCCCCGGTCGAGCCGACCCATTCGTTTTACAACTATACTATTAGTATAGCTGCAGCATGGTTCTACCACGTACAAACGTAATTAATAAGATGAGCATGTAGTTACTTTCATAGCGTAATGTCTTATGGAATCTTACTATGGGATAATGCGACTGACATTGAAGTTATATTTGTTTGCAAAAGATAGGCATACGGATGATTTATAACCTAAATTGTAAAGAGTCCCTTAGAGACAAATTTTAAGGATATAAATAGTTTAATCAGTGTTACTTATCTATGTGTTGTTGCTTTCAGTTAAAATTGAAATAAAAACTAAAACATTTAAATTCAAATTCAGATAAAATCGAAAATCTAAATAATAAACCATAAATAAAATAATAAAATAAAGAACTATATCAGCCGCTTATTGCTTGATATTAAACGACTGTATATTCGAATACAAACCACTGAGTAATATCGTTAAGAAAATATCATGAATAGCAATACAATAATTATTTAATTGTTATATTAATACATTTATTGTAAAGATACTTTACTCTATAACTGTTTTACTCGTAAGAAAATATGTGTGTTAAAAAATGTTTTATGTATTAAGAAATGGTGTTTTGAAAACAAAATGATTGTTTGATTTCCAATAAAATATATCTATGTGTTGTTGCTTTCAGTTAAAATTGAAATAAAAACTAAAAACATTTAAATTCAAATTCAGATAAAATCGAAAATCGAAATAATTAGTTTTAATAAATACATTCGTTGTAACAATAAATTTCTTTTCTTTTTTCCTCTACACAATTGAATAATAATGATACATAATAAAACAACAATAAAATTCAATGTATAACTTTTATTATATTTTACAAGCTACATTACTTAAATTACTAGTTCTCACATAATTTTTCACCTATTTTTTTTATAAGATAATTTGTAGCATCTAACACTTCATCATACATTGAATCCACAACCTATTGAACACTTATATTAGCACTAAGATCGTGGATGACATTTTCTTCTTGCTCTTTAAGTTTGCAAATGCTGATTTTAATCAGACGATGACCTCGTTTATCTTTATCTCGGCGGATAATGTGTGATGATGATGATGATTCTTGTGATCGGTTTCTCTTCCTGTAACATTTCTTTGATTTCGATTGCCGCTCTTCATTAATATCTATTCTATTTGGTGGTAAATCGTGAAGCTGCTCCTTTCGGTTGTAATAATTTAGTGTAAATTTATCCACATCCTGTGCATGGTAATACGGATTAGTGATAGAATTAGAATCATTGTGTTCCTCAGTGTTGACCATGATCTGCAATTAACAAAAACAAGTTGAAGTCAAAAAAAAGGTAGGTGAATTTCTAAATAGTAAAAAAAGATGATTAAACTCACCAATATGGATGATATTTGACGAGTGTTGTAATCAACGTGCACTCGCTATGAGAATAAAACAATAATGAAACAATTGAGGGAGGGTGGGAAACGCTTTTCAATCCAGGTAAGACACATCATTTTTATTTAGTTAGCGGACGGATGCAAATTAATTAATATCTTTATTGTAATGGATTTACGATGTTAGGTTTTGGGTCTTAGGTTTTTTTTTTGGGATTTTCTTGATTCGGTCGCCGCGCTCAAAGCCCTCGATAAAAGCTATGCAAAAGCTTAAAAACGTTTATTAGCACTAACCACAATGAAATTAGGCTAAACAAGTTGTATTATTAGAAATTAATCATATAGATGCGGCAATACCATCAATATCTCGCAAATGCTCTGAATATAATGCTCAATAACTCAACTGGAAGTGGAAGTACACTTGTTCCCGCAGGATAAAACTGTGAGTATGTAGACGTTAATTTGGTTAAAATAAAAATTTTGCACCTCTACTGGAGAGAATTGGGGTCTTCAGCGGCATGTATCTCCAGCGAATGCGAGAGCAAAGTGACACAGAAGCCCCAATTCACACCTACTCAGATAATAAGACTTCGTTATGAAAACCTATTGCTAAATAAGTCCAGTAGGTATCATTCAATACGGTGCCGAGATCACATTAGCATGAGTCCTTACTAGACACTGAATTGCATTATAATATGTTCTTGATACGCATCGAGTATTTACAAGTACCTAGTGTATAAAATTTGCCTAGCATTTAGTTGAAGTTCCCGGGACTAGTCCCAACTAGTCTGGAGTATTGACATACAAAGACAGAAAGACTGCGGAATAGTGTAGTTAAAAAAGGACAGAATATATTCTTGCACAACACGAGTGCGCGTCGTACACATTGAAATATAGTTCAAATTCAAATGATTGACACACGAATGATTTAGGCATATACGAGTGAGCGGCAAAGCAGACTAGTAACTACGGCAACAAAATGCTATCTTGCTTTGCCGCGCCGGTACTTCTTCAATTCGAGCGGGCCGCCGCGCCGGTGCCGTGCGACGTGTAGGCACAATGAGACTAGGTGGATCAAGTATTTTAAAAGTTGGAACAGGTGCAACCTAGTCTCGTTTAATACCTAGAGCCTAGATCTGTTCTAGTATATACGTTTCATCTCTATTTGGGAGTTTAAGCGGGAACTTGGCCGGCGACGGATTGCTGCTCCTGTGTTTTTGTTTAAATAATGGTTTGAAGTGCATTTTGATATGTAAAAGTGGTGCGATTTTGTGTATTAAGTGTCTGCGCTGGTACTATTAGTGGAAGCGATGAAACAAGTGCTCTGATGATGATATGATTCTCAAGATAAGTTGTCTGTCTGCTTAGGCGCCTTGAGATACCATCATCAGCTGTCTGCTGCCTCAAGATGTCGTCAAAATCTCCCAAGGGCTGCACAATGTGACGTATCAACATATTGTGAAGCAGTGAAGGATAATTAAACATTGTTACTAAAGGCTAGAACCCAGAGTCGTAAAGTCAGTTATTAAAAAAAAGTTTATGTTTGATGATTTGATGTCACTATTTTTCGATAAGAAAGTAAATTTTATAGTATTGACCATTGACTAGTATGTGAAATACTTTAGAAATGGGATGTAATTATTAACCATTTCAAAATGTTGGTTTTAAAAGCTTGTACAGTATGTCTAAGTACTGATGTTAAATTGTGTAATATGGATAATGGGCAGCTACGACATGAATACAACATAGTGTCTGGATTAAAAGTAAAATTATTTATTTTTTCACTATCATTAGCTTATTAATTTACAAGTGGATAACTAAAGTATATTACCTCAATATTTTAGACACACATGGGTAATGGCCTGCCTGGATATCTTTGCGTTGAATGCTTGGCGTATGTAAGACGTTTCAAACAGTTTAGAGATAAATGCCAAAGAGCTCATTACGCTTTAAAACAAATTCTGGATAAACAGAAACAGGTAAGAAGGATCAAATATTTACAGCGACATTGATTTTTGTATCTGCTGACAATGTTTTTGATAAATTATTATAGTTTGTGTGCTGTATAAATTATAAGTAGGATGTGTTTATTGTGAAAATGCATGGTATTACCTAAAAAAAAATATGGAAGCATTGAACTAATCCATAATTCTTTTCATTAGGATAAACACAGAATAATGTGAATTGTAAGTCAAAAAATAAAGTTGTAATTATTAAAATTAACAAATGAATTTAAATACAACAGACAAAAATTTAAGGAAATTAATATAATAACTTTGGTCTCTCAATACATCTATGAAAATGTAATTTATATACACAAAAATAAAGGTAGTTATACAATAATAAGTGATATTCATTCTGTAAATACTCGGAACAGACACAAGTTAGTAGTACCAGTTACTCAACTCCACCCAGTCAGTAATTCATTCTTGGGATGATGTATATGTATACGCTTTTACAAAAAAATCCTAGAAAATACAAAAAAAATTTAACCTGCTCAAAGTTCAAAAACTTTATTGAAGAAAGTTTGTATAAAAAGGGTTATTATAATATTAAGGAATTTATGGATTATAATAACCCCTGGGAATGAGGTGATCTCTACCAAGCTATTTTGTTATTTAAAAAAGAAGTCCCAGTTCCTAGGACAGAGGTTTTTTTTCGAACCAGTGTTAATTAAACAAAAGAGTGACTTTCAATAAGTATTATGTAGCATATGTTTAGTACGAGGGTGACACTGAAAGTTCTTAGCAAATCAAAAACCGAACAAGCTAGCAAGTTATTAGTTTTATTATATCTTTTTAAATCTCTTTTCCTTCATAAACGAGGATAAATGTAGATGTCTGGGCCACAGCAACCACTTACCATGTGTACAGGTGGACTGTGTGCTCGTTTGTCACCCTATCCTATAAAAAAAAATAGTGTCCATTTACATCAATACATCGCTGCATCTGATGGAACCACTGAGAAAAGCACTTTGCCCATGAAAAGCTGCCACTGCTTCCTCAACGTCCATAAAACATTTTCCTCAAAGTTTTTCTTTTATTTTTGGGAAATAAATAAAAGCTGCAAGGTGCGAGGTCGGGGCTATAGGGCGGGTGACTCAGTAATTCCACATCTGACGTCGCCAAGTAGTCGATTGTTTGCTTGGCGGTGTGCAACGAGGCATTGTCATGGTGAAGGAGGATCCTACTGTGAGGTCGTTTCGCCCAAACTTTTTCCAAGACAAGTGGCAAACAATTGTTAGTGTACCACTCTGCAGTAACCGTTATTCCATCCTCTAAAATAATTGTTGCGTAATGACTTGTCCTTCCGAAGAATGAGGCCACCATTTAAACCTCTCTTCACTTTAGTTGGCAACTCGGAAGGAAACATCCAGACAGCAGACTGTCTCTTAGTTTCAGGATTATAACAATAAAGGCAGCTTGCGTCACCCGTAAGTATGTCGAACACAGCATTTGAGTCAGCTCTGTTAAATCTTTGAACCATTTCACAACACCAATTAACATGACGGAGTTTTTGGGCCTCGGTCAAATTATGAGGTATCCACCGGGCTTAAAGTTTCCTGACCGCTAAATGTTCATGGAGGTTTTTTTGCACTTGACTCATACCGATGCCTAAGCTTGTCCTAATCTGCTGATACGTTACTCTTTTGTCAGTCTCTATCATACGCCGCACAACACTGCTGTTATCTTCAGTCGTCACTGTACAAGGCCGTCCGTCACGCAGATCATCGGTGAGATTAGTGATGTTTAAACTCATTAAACCAGTTGTAAACAGTGGCACGAGATAGGGCTTCAACGTGAAAGGCCAATTGAAGTCTATCATAACTTTCTTGTTGACTTAAATGACATCGAAAGTCATAAAAAGTCATTGTACGAAAATTTTCTCGCATTAAATTCATGCTGACGTGACACAGACAATTTTCAATTTGCTGTCAAATTGTAAACAAATGACAAGTTAATAAAATACATACAGAATAATATTGGCAAAGAGCCTATTTTCAAAATTTGAACTTATTTTTTTATTATACGTTTACATGTGGCCAGTTCTAAAAACTTTCAGTGTCGCCCTTGTAGTGTGGTTTATACTTCAGGGGTGGTCCAATATAAACTGTGAGAGAAAATTCAACCCATAAGGGTAGTTAAAGAGTTGGTTATGTGTATAATGTAATTATTTATAACATTTTAGTTGTTACTTTGAGCTTGTGATTTTCCTTAGTCCACACAAAATGTTCAAAAAATTTATCATTTAATGAAACTAAAAGGATCTTTTAATTAGTCGATAATGTAATAAAGTAGCTGTTCCTCGTGACTTCGCTCGCGTATAATTTAGGTTTTTAATATTTTATTTCCATGGAACCCTAATTATTTTCCTAATTAAAATTAGCCTAAGTTATAATATCAGCTGTTTGCCAGTGTTTGCCATCAAAATCGGTCCAGCCGTTTCGGAGATTATCCAAAACAAACAGATAGACAGACAGACAGTGTTTTTTTATAAGCACTATATGTATATATACTTTCATATGCATTTAGTGAAAAGCTGTTATTCTGACATTACAAACAGACGCTCCAATTTTATTTATATGTGTAGATTATGTGACAAACAATACTCTAATACTCTAATTGAATACATACATGAGTATTGATGTGGAGGCTTTTACATTTTTTTTAAATTAATTTTTAACATGAGAGTTGTCCACCACTCTGTTTATTTTTGTTTATGATAAAAGCAAACATGTGATACAAAACCACTAAACTTAAATTATTTAATGAAGCAATTTATTTCAGATTACAAAAGCTGCTCTCAAAGTAATTGATCGTAAACTTATTAATATTTTGCCCTCACTGTCATATGTAGATAATAGTAGAACATATTATGAACAAGTTAAATTCCAGTGGGTAAAGCATAGTCGCTGTAGTGATGTTAGAGGTGAAATACCTATTGTGCATCACAATACAACGGATAAAATTGAAATTGCTGTGCCTAATAAAAAAACTAAACTTAATAATGGCAACATTTTATTAAAAATTGAAGAAAAAGATACAGAAACAGATAGAGACTTCAAATTAGATTTACCTGATATAGATGGTGATCACAAGGAATCTGAATGCTTTGATGAGTCAGTCCCTCTTGTTGATGAAACTGAAATATCTAATGAAACAAACATATTTCAAGAGTTTTTCATCAGCAATGATCATGACTATGATAGTTATGTTTACCCACAATGCAAAGACGAAAATGATGCCTTAAAAAAAGATGACCAAGACATTGATGGTTGTAATTTAGATGAAGAGTATGCCAGCATAGTTCCAATATCTATGAAGGAAGCAAAAGCTGCAGTGGAAGTGTACAAAATGTTTAGTCATGGCAAATATTCCTGTGATGTATGTACCAAACCTTTCTTCAGTGAAAATCGTTTGAAAAACCATAAAAGAATGCATGATAAGGTTTGTACTATTAATTTAGTTTTTGACAGTAAAATCTTTAAAAACATTTAAGTGGTAATTAATAAAGATAATATTTGAAGAAATAATTTAATAGATTCTGTTCAGAAAAAAAAAGAGAACCATATTGGCTGAAAAATAGATGAATAGTGGTGCAGTAGCTCAGCATTGAGTGTTAGTAGTGCTTAGAGGGCTAAGTTCGAATCCCACACAGAAAAAGTAATTATCCTTACAAATAACTGATCTGGATCTGGTTGTCGAGTCCAGCCCACATCACACAGCGACGCTCATATAATTGTATAAACCCGCGCGCGGTATCACGCGCCTGTTAGCCGTCGTATGCACAGCATGAAGTGGGCAGACCACACTATGTAGCGGTGCTTTGAGTTTTGAAGAACAGACACGAGCATATGACACGAGTATATGCGGCTTGACACAGTGCATGCTTTACTATTTTCGACAAATTTTAACAGAATTCCTTTTAGTTTTTTTACATATCTCCTAAAGCAGTTCTGGTTTTGTAGGGCCGCCGACGATGAAGAAAATGATTCCAAGATTCCTTTTTCTTGGCGTTCCGCAAGGCGATGTCTTGTCCCCGCCCTCCCCCGCCCCCTTCTTATTCACAATTGTTATTATGGTATGGTATGGTATTACCATTACATCCCAAATATCTTCTTCTATCCACTTGTATGTAGATGATCTCTAAATATATATACAAATAACCATAGAATCTTTCTAAAGCAGTTATTTTGTATCAATGTCACTTTGGTATGTATTTTCGACTGGAGTTAATCACATAGGCTAACTGTGCTCTTAAAATCCCAAGCCATAAATATTAGAAGTTTATGACCATGATAGCGCATTAAAATCAAGTGACTCTTACTACATCTTATTTTAATATGTCAAGTTCACCCTATCTCAAAGAATGTTTCCAACTTTGCTCCCATTATGTTTGTGGTCCTACGATCCTTCCTCGAATGTCCTACGATTTATGACAAATCTTTCTCTGTTTTTAGAGTGAACAATTGAAAATTAAAGGGACATCATACACCTCAGTCCCCCTCGTGACCATGGGTGCTGTAAAGTGCCCAAAACATCAGGAATTAAAAAAGTTAAAATTAATCGCTATAAAATCCGTAAAATTAATTTTATTCCATAAACATGGTGTATGTGAAACGCTCCCGGAAACGAAGACTGACGATAGTACTGTTACGAGCTTGGGGTTCGAGACAATTAAAAACTGCCGATTGAATTACCAAAATTGACACTTTAATTACACAACACTAATTACAATCTAAAATGACACTAATAATAAAACACAGTTCGCCGTTATTTCGCTTCGAAGTATTCTCTTGTATCGCCAATTCAATACTGCCTCGGTCGTGGTCTATACCGGCCTTATATAGGGCCTCAGATAGTTTCCAGAATCTTCTACTGTAGCGACATCTAGAATGTTCGAGTACATATCGTTCCCGAAATTTCTGGAAGGATCTTGACTCTCCTAGTTCTGCTACTCGACACTCGAGGGCGCTAGTGTGACTAGTGTTGCCATGTACAAGACATTAATAATGGCGCGCAACACTTTCTTTTACTCGACACTAGAGGGCGCTAGTGTAACTAGTGTTGCCATGTACAAGACATTAATAGTGGCGCGCAACACTGCCCTCTCCTAAGACATGCTCGTCCCGAGCATTATTGGCCCCATAATAACGCGCCAGTCGATCCACATGGACAATCTTAGGAGTACCTCTGGCACCTTTCTGTATCCGGTAGGTTACATCATTGATCCTTGTCACAATCCGGTAAGGTCCGTCTCATTTAGCTTGATGCTTAGGAGATTTCCCTTTGCTGCGAACTAGATTGTGTAACCACATAGTGAACCTTCATCAAACCCCTTGTTGTTCATTTTGCGGTCATACCGTGTTTTCATCTTCTCAGACGTTTGCTGGCCCGTCTGTCTGACGTGCTCGTAAATGTCATTCATTTTGTTCCGCAAGTCATTTGCATAATCGGTTATACTGCGTGGGGCATCAGGTGGTATTCCGGTGATCAGGTCTGCAGGCAGCCGTAATTCTCTCCCAAAGTTTGCGAAAGCTGGCGTCACTGATGTACTTTCGTGAACAGCGCTTCGATATGACAACAAAAACAGTTGTTGATGATGTGCCTGTCCCAGTCTCGTTGCCGTTTTTCCACAACTTTTGCCAGGTACCTTTCCAATGTCTGATTAAATCGTTCTACCATTCCATCAGATTGTGGGTGGTAAGAAGTTGTTCGTGTTTTATGAGTACCCATAACTCTGCAAGTTTCCTGGAATATTTGAGACTCGAAATTCCTTCCTTGATCGCTATGAATCTCTAAGGGTACTCCAAAACGACAGAAGACTTCATGAACTAGTTTATCTGCAACTGTTGAAGCTTCTTGATTTGGAATGGCGAAGACTTCTGGCCACTTAGTGAAGTAATCCATCACAACCATGAAATACTTGTTACCACTTTCACTTTCCGGAAACGGCCCCGCAACGTCAATGGCTATCCTCTCCAATTGTGCACCAACATTGTACAATTTCAATGCGCCTCTACTACGAATTTGAGGTCCATTTACAGCCGCGCAACTTTTACATTTGCGGCACCAGTCCTCGACATCGTCACGACAGTGAACCCAGTAAAACCGTTCTTCAGTAGAGTTCGTTTAACTCCCAGGTGGCCTCCTGAACAACCACTATGGTACAGCTGTAGAACATCCGCTACTTTAGCCTTAGGGACAACCATTTGCAAATGACAACTATCTCCCCGACCATTTTCCCATTTACGGCACAGGACTCCATCATGAATCAGCAAGCTGTCCCATTGGGCCCAATAGCTTTTTGTGGTCGAACTCATTGCTGAGACGTCACTCCACTTGGGCTTAGAACTGGCCTTCATCCATTCCAGAATCGGCTTAATGTCCGAATCTTCCTGCTGTGCATGTTGTAGGCTGTCCTTCCACTCATTGCTGAGCTGGTCTGTCCTGAGTATCCTCACAGATACCACTTCCTTACTCTCTTGCCTAGTATAACGCTTGCAATCTTCAGGACAAAGTCTTCTTGACAATACATCTGCGTTGCCATGAGATTTCCCGCTGCGCTGGGCGGTGCTGTTAGCTGCACTACCTTCTCGAAATCGATCACTTTCCTTTTCTACAGTTCGCTTAGGGCAGCTGGATCGAAGATGGCCCCTTTGCCCACAGCCGTAGCACCTAGGGCGGTAGCCGTTATTGCGGTCCCGAACTGTAACTGCTGCAACCTCCCTGACGCGGTAGAAACGATGATCCTGTCTCACGGCTTCCACCTTCAGTGCACGGGTCAAGGCGTCCTTAAGCGTCTCGTGGTGCCCGAGCCTCACAGCAGCTCTGACTTCAAGGTCGTGGATGCCGTCGATAAATGTCTGCACCAGGTTCCCTACAATGAGCGCAGGTACAGACTGGTACGCTTTTCGAACCAGCTTCTCCTCCTCAAGGGCCCACTGCTGCAGGTTTTCGTTACTGCGTTGCACGCGTTCTTTGAGCTGCGCACGAAAGACGTGTTCCAGGTGAGCGTCGCCATATCTCGCCTCCAATGCCTCAAGGAGCTGCTCGTAAGTCACTTCCTTACCGAGAGCTTCCAGAACAGTTAAGGCCTGTTCGCGTAGACCTAGGGTGAGAGCACTCATGGCCTGACTTTTATTCCAGCTGTTCGCTTTCATGACAGCCTCGAACTGGATTTTGTAGGCCGACCAGGAAGAAGTCCCGTCGAACGGCGGCACTTTGAATCCACGTAGCGAAGGTGTTGTAGCTACCACGGGAGCTGTAACTCCATCCCCAAGTTTGAGGTTGTCCAGTGTTTTCTTCACGTCAACCATCACGTTGTCAACCCGATTGTTCACTTGGTCGATTCGGGTTTTAGCTTCCGACAGGCGGTTGTCATATTGAGCACCTAGGGTTGCTCAATATGACAAAGGAAGGATAGGTCCTTCACCTCCTTTATCTCTTTTCCGAAGGTATCGTGAAGGTCCTTCATGAGAAGAAGCTGCACTTCCAACCGACGGCCCTGTTCCTCCTGTTGGCGGGCCTGTTCCTCCTGTCTGCGCTGCTGCTGCTCTTCCAACCGACGGCTCTGTTCCTCCTGTCGGCGGGCCTGTTCCTCGTGTCGGCGAGCCTGATCCTGCAACATCATTATCAGAGCACCTAAGTCAGGTGCTGTAGATTCAGGAGCTGCTGACGGACCGGCCTCCGTGGTCAGCATCTGACCCTCCGACGTTTGCGGCGTTGCATTACCAAGTCGTCTCTGGTCCGCCTCCAGCTGGCGTTGACTTCGGGTACGGATACCCTCCATGTCGTCCTTTGGTGAAATCGGCATGATTTGATCCCACTTCTGACACCAATTGTACCGAGCTTGGGGTTCGAGACAATTAAAAACTGCCGATTGAATTACCAAAATTGACAATTTGCCAATTCAATACTGCCTCGGTCGTGGTCTATACCGGCCTTATATAGGGCCTCAGATAGTTTCCAGAATCTTCTACTGTAGCGACATCTAGAATGTCCGAGTACATATCGAGCCCGATATTTCTGGAAGGATCTTGACTCTCCTAGTTCTGCTACTCGACACTAGAGGGCGCTAGTGTAACTAGTGTTGCCATGTACAAGACATTAATAGTGGCGCGCAACACTTTCTTTTACTCGACACTAGAGGGCGCTAGTGTAACTAGTGTTGCCATGTACAAGACATTAATAGTGGCGCGCAACAGTACTAACGATACCTTTGATGTTGGGTCAGAAACGAAATCGATCCCGAGGAAAAAAAACTTCTTTTCACAACGTTTTATTAGCTTTATTCACGCTCCATCATGTTAATACTAATAAAAAATCATGAAAATACTTAAACATACAACCAGCAATGTAATTTAAATCAGCTGACTAAGGTCAATAATCGCGCGGATGCCGAATGCGCGCGGCCCGCAGCTAGCGATCGTACCAATACCTAATAATTTACAACACTTGTCTATTTAACCTACTATTTTGCTACTATGCTTGTCTCTCCCTAGCCACTTTAATATTTCGAAGTCACAGGTTAAATAAACCAAATATGTACCGATTCCCCGCTAATGAAAAATTTACTTAAATGGAATGTTAACAAGGATAGTCATGCTTTTTTATCCATCGTGTATTTATTATTCTGATGTATTCAGTTATGTACCTACTCAAATCAGTTCAGTACTAAGTTATTTAAAAAAAATTAGGCATGAAACAGCTTACCGATCTAACTCCTCCGTCGCCTTATAAGATTCTCTAAGGCACATTAACATGTTGCCATATTCACGAGCACTATAAACGTACGCGTTAGGCATTATTAAAACAAAACAAGAAACACAAAACGTAACAACAAGAACTTAATAAACAAAACGACTGTCGCTCACGAGCACGTGGTAGTCAACATGGAACTGGCTCAAAAACTGAAATAAATAACCAGTCCCGCCAAAACAAAATGCCTACTGCTAAGTTTGTGCGTCCTAACGTCCTTGCGGTAAGCACTTTGATCGTTTCCACAGATCGTTAAACCGTTGCAACATACAAGTTTAATTTTATAAGTTTAGTTATCACTACGACACTAGTCTTTATATGGAATTTAGAAGTTATAGTTGTCATTTTTAATACAATTAGACAATCAATAATTGTACCCTGAAGCAACAAGCAGTTCGTTACTACAAAAATTATATTGAAATTAATAAACGTACCTAATTGGGTTCTCACATACACAATTATAAACACTATTTCATCGTTATCTTTAATTTTGTACAAGAAATTAGAAATTAAATGGTACTGAATAATTTAATAGTTAAATCAATTGCAATTATGATCGACAGTTAATTAATCTAAAAAATAATTCTTTTACTTTATTTTAATTGACTATCCGTTATTAATCCGTCCAATACTTTGAATTTAAGAAGAGGTACGTCAAATTATTAAAAATTACTTGCAAGTTGCATTGTGATTGCCGCCTCTAATTCTTACATTGACTGCAAACAAATCTTAATAGGTAAATTTCGATGCAACAAGGCAGCGTTGCCAACACCAATTTGTCAAATTCTCGGAAAATCCATATCAAATTCCCCAATTTAACGACAAAACTTCAACAGATTCTCCATAAATTCCCCTCAATTTTATTTTAAGAAATGAAACAATTTTCAACTAATTTTATAAGATTAATTTTTACCGAATTTTTTTTTTACACTTTCCATATTTTTGTAACAAGCATTTTACTCAATTAAAAAGTTTCCCTTGTTGCCATTAAAAAGTACCACATTATCTGCTTTTATATGCATGCGGTTCTTTGCTTAAAATTAAAAAATAAAGAAATGAAAAGCATTCAATGATGCACAAAAGTAGCCAAAATAAATCCGAAAATTAAATGTGGTGCAATGAAGAGTATTAATAAAAGGAAGTCATTCGATATTAATAAGTAACCTAACAAAAATGTCAAGATCAGTATTTAGATTTCATGATAAAAGGTTCTGACTTGGCCCAGGCTATCGATTTTCAAAATCACCGCGTTTTCCCCGCATGAGACCAATCGACATAAAATTCCCATACAACTTTAATTCCCCGCAAATTGGGGAATTCTCCACATGTTGGCAACGTTGAAATATGTGTGCGTGTGTAAAGGCAAGGGCAGAGACTAGAGTGGTAGTAATGCCTAATGCATTGTTTCGTGAGTTACATACCGAGCTATATATAAGAGTTCGACGGCCGTGCGAATATTGACCTTAGCTGATTTAAATTACACAGCTGGTATTATGTATAAGTATTTTTTTTTTGATGAAATTATCGTTTCATTTAGCTGTACTAACATGATGGAGCGTGAATGAAGCTAATAAAACGTTGTGAAAAGATGATCTTTTTTTCCTCGTGATCGATTTTCTTTGTGACTCATCATCAAAGGTACCGTCAGTACTATCGTCTGTCTTCGTTTTCAGGAGCGTTTCACTAACACCCGGTACAGTAGGTATTAAATACACGAAATCGTTATAATTATTAGTTGAGCCTTTACTATACAGGGCTATTTTACAGAGTACCCAAATTTTAAACTTAATTTCAAATATATAAATAATGATATACCGTTATTGCAATTTTTGAAAATACGATAAATAAGGCTACTTTTATTTGAAATTATCCCAAATTGAACGTGACTTATGGGCAACAACGTTTTTGCCTACCGATTGACCCTTACGAATGTGTGCGTGCGCAATAAAATCAGTTATAATAATGCATTACCACGCATTTTGAATTTAAAAGAAAAAAAGTACAGAATTATTAAGATGTTTTTTAATTAATTTTTTTCACCATTTGCCTATATTACTTATTCTGAACCTTCTCTCCAAATTTGGCCGGTTATTGCAAAATAACCCTGTATATACTTTTACCGAAGCAAAACTGGCCACAAATAGATTTTTTAGTCATAAATAAATTAAATACACCAAGTATCCAACCGCAATCGACATTACTTAGGTGTAACCGCACTTAGGCTTTTAGCCATGACATGCATATATTTATCAATAAATTACTTTTTAAATTTCAGTACACTAGTGGCACATTCCTTTGTGAGTTATGTAATTACTATTATAAGACTGATTTCCTGTTGAAAACTCACATGACTGAGAAACATATGTACAAATATATATGTAGAAAATGTCCTGAAGTTAGTTTTGATAGGTGAGTACTGTTTTACAATGTTTTATAGAAGCAAAGTCTTTATTATTTTTCTACTGACTTCAGAAAGGAGGAGGTACTCAATGCGACTGTATGTTTTTTTTGTGTGTTATCTCATAACTTCCTTCTGGGTGAACCGATTTCGATGATTCTTTTTTTATTTGAAAGCTGGTGCTTCTCTTGTAGTCCCATATAAATTTATCAAGGCCTGACCAATAGTTTTTGAGTTATTAGTAATCATTTATGTTGAAGTTGGTTGTACATAATTTTTAATTATTAAATTAAAAGAAAAACAGTTAATACACGTGTTAAATTTTTCTATGTTACTAATCAATGTATTTAAAGAATATAAATTGTATTACTATACTGATTAATCAATCAATAATGGTCAAGTTTACCAAATGACTAGGTCAGGCCTGACAAACATCAGTGAGGCCTTGAAATCGGGGATCCTGCCTGCCTCTGATATAATATGATAAGTTGATTATACATATACATTTCATACAGCATACTCACACAACTAACATGTTCTTCAAAATTTTCGTTCGATGCTGGTGAGATGACTGGCGTGTTCCTAGTTTTTGTGTAATATCTTAGAGCTTCAGCTCTTTATCTGTTTCAAAAATTTATCCGTTGGTCCTGTGCCTGATCGATCTCTGGTTATGTAGGATTGCCAATTGCTATTCCAATAGGACTATACAAGTTAGAGAATAGAGAGTGCATCTATGTTAGCACATACATTCATTTCCTTTAATTCTGTCCTGCGCAGGATAGTTTTTGTTGAGACTGTTCACTATGACCGAAATTCAGTCTGGAAGATTGTTATTTATTTATAATATAATAAAAAAATGAATGTTTTAAACATTTCAGAACATCAGCAAAGCAGCATTTTATTTGGTCACATTTACAAAAGGGCAACAACAAGGATGCTAATTGGTATGAATCGCGCCCCAGTTGGTTGAATAATAAGGGAGGGAGGAGAAACAAAGGAGTAGTTTCGCTTCGACCTGTTAGAAAAATTAAGAAGTTACCTGAGGACTTTCTTGTATATTCTCCAATATCACATGAAGAGCAGTATAAATTAGTTGAAGCACGACAGAGTAGTATGAATTACATAGAAGCTGAATTCAAATGTCAGTTTTGTTACAGAGGATTCAGGGAGACTGCTACATACAATAAACATATGAGAAAACATGACCCGGTAATAACTGCATTTCTTGTCAATACTTGTTATTATATATTTATAAGTTATGGTAACTTATGGGCTAGCTTACTTTCGACTTTATAGCTCTCGCACCCCAGTTCAATGGTGCTAGCACTTGCGTGTCTAAATAAATAAAAGTATTAAATTGTGTTTTTGAAGTCTGTTGACGAGCGGTGGGGCAACATACTAACCTGCTTATTTTCTCAAAATGAGTGACAATCGGTCTTGAAAGTATTTGTTGCTGTGATGATTGTGTGAATCTAGTGAATTTTGACTATAAAGGCAACTTTCGAAAAGTGCCAGAAGTTATCTTCTGCACTGGTGATATTATACCGACAGTGCATGTGCTGATTGATATGCACCTAGTCTTCCTTAGTGTAACGGTATTTCCTCTATATCTAGTTTGCCGTTTTATTAAAATAACTTGTGATATATCCCGTTCTCGTTTGCGAATCAAAATGCAGATGCGTTGTCACCCTTGAGGACTAAGATGGAACGCCTCTTTTCCAGTAAAATGGGTCTCCGGTTCTCTACACTTACCATACGAAACATAGCAGCATTAAGCTGCTATTTTACGCTGGTATTCTATGAGAGCGTGGTCCTTTCTCGGTCGAGCCAACCCATTCGTGCTACAACTATCTACTAATATAGCTGCAGCATGGTTTTACTATGTTGTCCACCAAATAGCTATGTCAGCTTGTATTCTTTGGTTTGCCTTGTAATTGAGGCTTAAGAGAATCCATCACCTAATTTTGCCTCCTGGGTGTTGCAAGAGACGACTGTGGCAAATTCCAGAAAAGACTTATGGCTTCCGATAGATCGCGATATTTATAACCATCTTTTTTTCTGTCGCCGGCATGGATATCTTGCGTTTGGTCTAAACGCGTTATTCAGCCGTTATTGAAAGATGAAGGTGATATTTTTGGTATTTTAATGATGCGATCTGCTCAATTTTCACATCGAGATATGAAGAGGGTTGATTTTGAAATGCTAATAAAATTACATTTAAATGATAAATATATCATATATAGTTGGATTTTTACCAATGTGCAAGTAATACTACTATGTGGTGTCCTGTGTGGAAGAAAACGCCGCGATTTCGGTGTGGTTGAGGGCTGCGACGCGCGGCCGCGGTGCGTGCCGCCAGTGCGCTCGCGGCCACGCGCACGCCTGGCCGCCGCCACTCTCGCTCGCCCACACCCGAACGTCCGAACGTCATAGCAGATGCGACACCTCAAGCTGCCTGCCGAGCGTGACGACGAAGCCAATTCCACTCTACAATGGAATTGGCACATAGATACAAGTTCTGAGATAATTTACCTTATTCAAAGAATGCTTGAATAATCCCAGAGAATAGTAATGGGGAAACACGTTACAAATGCTACGGCATTGGCTCTCCAACCAGCCTGTTCAATGTGAAAAAATAAAAAAAATAAAGAAGAAATAAATCATCTTAAGAATTAAGGTCATTATTTTTTTTATTCACCAGGCAATCGCTGGCAATTACCAGTGCGATGTGTGCAAATTATATTTCAAGGATACAAGAAAAATGTACAAACACATGAATATATCGCATCTCTTCAAATACTCGTGCCAATTGTGTAGTTACGTCTGTTATAATAAGTAAGTGGTAACTTCATGTTAAATGCTACTTCTTTGGGATTTTTTATCTTCACACACAATTTTTATTGATTTTATCGCGTTTAATTATATCCCATTTGAACTTTGTTGTAGAGGGTTCGATTTTTGAAAGTCCTAATTAACATATCTCTACTTTTTGAAGACTTCATTTGAGCCTGATTTTACTTAAGTGAATTTTTCATTTCGCATGTCTCGGAAAATAATGATCATTGTCGTCTCCAATTTAACAAAATACTTAATTTTATAATGAATACTTACACTAATTGTGTAGTATTAGTTTTTACAATTAGAAATCGATCTTATATTTATTCGGGGTCACTTTTACTAATATGGGCGTTCCTCAGGGCTCGATTCTCGACCCATTTTTATTTCTAGTCTGTATTAATGACTTACCTTCCCTATTATGGGATAATCATGATATTATGGTATTATTTGCTGATGATACTTCATTAATTTTTAAACTTAAAAGGCAATCATTTAAATATGACAAAGTGAATAATAAAAGAAAAACATACAGCTATAGCCATAAACTTTTTTATATTGGTCTTGAAAACAATAGTTGAAATCGGTACAATTTTGGAGGAGAAAACAAACATATTGGGCAATTTTTCATAGGTAGGTTATCATTCTCTATATTGTCTAGCCTGCTCATTCGGGCAAGGCGGTACAGCAATACACTGTTAAAAAAACTATATCTTATATCCCAGATATCCTCTTTAATCCGTTAAAATTGTTTTATTTACTTTCAGGTAAATATTACGGTACATGAATAATTTGTAAGCTGTGGTGACCTTAAAGTCGTTGTGTTGTATTGTATTAAAGAACAATGGTTATTTTGCACAAAAACATAAATTGTTACCAACATGAAGCTGTCACCAAAATGTAGAACATTGTCAATTTAATTAATAGATATCATCAATTTATTTTTAAAAGCGGGGGAAATATAAATAATCATCTTTAAAAAATAAAACTTTACTTATCACAATGCAGTATTAAATAATATATTATTAAACGCATCCATAATAATTTACTTTCCTAAACCAAGAGTAATAACTGTGTTTTACTTGAGAAGTCTATAGGTACCAAAGAGTATATAAATTAATGAAAAGTACTTTGTGATATAATCGCTATGTTTAATCCATATTTTAAAGTCTGAATCAAATTTTTTTCTGAATCGAAATTAAATTCTAGTCAACGGCAAACATATAAAAAGAAAAACCTTTTTTTTAAACTGGCTTTACGGCTCTGGGTTCTTGCCCTTCTGAGCCTGATAAAAACCTTTCATTTTAAAATGCTACAGAATAATAATACAATAAATAACATCAAAAAACATATTCGATAAATGCAAGATTCTCCTTACTTTTAGAAATATATTGAATGTCGTACTTTGTTATATTTAAATAGATAAATAAAACGACATAATATGTTACATCAAGTTACATTCTATCAGATTTGACCAGTCCAAACTTGTTAGAAGAGTGGCCATTGTTTTTTCAAAGAATTGAAAAACAAATTGTATTTGCGGAAGTCCATTGATATGCTTAAACTTTTTATTAAGACTTAAACAGTGTACTTGTAACTATTATACAATTTTTAATTAAAAAAAATATTTTCAGAGGTCAAGCACATTTACATTATAGGTGGCATAAAAATGTAACATACCAGTGTCAATACTGCAAGAAAGAATTCAAGTAAGACCTATTAATTTTTTTGAAATTTTTTGAATGATTTTCATCAAGTACCTACTTAAAGAGGAATATAATTTTTATTCTCAATATTTTACTTCATATCGAGATGTTCTATGAAACGTTCTTTTAACCTTACATTAATATCAAAAATTATAAAGATCAAGTGTTTGTTAATTTTCTTTTATGAATTATATGCAGGAAAGCTTCCACGCGGTTGACACACATTAGGATAAAACATCCATCGACCAATATTTGTAATCTATGTGGACACAGTTTCGTCAGCGAAACAGGTCTCTATTGTCACCAGAGAATTGCACACAGTAAAGAGGTAAATATTTCAATTATTTCTATGAAATACTATACTACTACATAATAATGTTGCGCGCCACAATTAATGCATGGTACATTGCGACACTAGCGCCTTCTAGTATCGAGTAGCAGTACTAGGAGAGTCAAGATCCTTCAAGAAATTTCCATGGAAGAACTTTCTAGAACTATCGACACCTAGTCAATCGGGACCGGTATATATGTACTCGAATATTCTCAGATGTTTCTATAGTAGAAGATTCTGAAAATTATCTGAGGATCTAGGCCGGTATAGACCGCGACCCATTCAGTGTCGAAGTGGTGATACAAGCGAATACTTCGAAGCGATACAACTGCGAACTAAAGTGATCAGTAGTACAATGGGTCTGGCCACCCAATTTTGTTAAGGGTATCAAAAAATTTTATAAAAAATTACAAATTCAACGGTATTCTTATTTTTTTTCTACCTTTAAAAATTACTGAAATATTGATGAGTAAAATGGTGTTTAACGGTAAGCGCGCCCGCTTTGCTCCGCATCGCGATGTGACGTCACAAAACGACACGTCGATGCCACCAGTAGTCTTTATTGTTATATTTTTCTTATTCTCCATATTTATTACTGCATATTTTTCTTGTCATGTTATTTATTTATCAGTACCCTTTATTTTCTGTTTTTTTTTTAAATTTCTGTTATATCACGCTCCTTGGGAATAAAATGGTGACCTAAGATACAGGTTTTACCTAGTTTAGGCACTAGTTTTTCACCTAACAATAGTATTGTATCAGATGTAAGCACATATTTTTTGTTTTCTGAATGTATATTGTTGGTGAAAATAAATAAAATAAAATAAAAATAAATTTAATTTTACTGGAAAAAAAAAATCTAAAGGACCTAAGCACTATGCTCAATGACCTAGATGAACATGGACAAAACAAAGATCATGTTTAATGTCCATGTCACACCTATGCCGGTAGTTGTTGGGAGCACTAAGCTCGAAGTTGTTGACGAGTATGTTTACCTGGGACAAATAGTCCGACTAGGTAAGTCCAACTTCGACCGAGAGGTCAATCGACGGATTCAACTCGGCTGGGCAGCGTTCGGGAAGCTACGACACATCTTCTCGTCAGACATACCTCAAAACCTGAAAACGAAATTGTACAACCAGTGCGTGTTGCCAGTGATGACTTACGGAACTGAGACGTGGTCCTTCACTGCTGGCCGTATGAGGAAGCTCAAGGTCGCTCAGCGAGCTATGGAGAGGGCTATGCTCGGAGTTTCTCTGCGTGATAAACTTAGGAATGAGGATATCCGCAGTAGAACCAGAGTAACCGACATAGCCCAACGGATTAGTAAGCTGAAGTGGCAGTGGGCCGGCCATATAGCTCGAAGAACCGACAACCGATGGGGAAGAAAGGTTCTCGAGTGGCAGCCTCGTATCGGTAGGCGAAGTGTAGGGCGTCCCCCCACGAGATGGAGTAACGACCTGGTAAGACATGCAGGAAGTCGATGGATGCAGGTGGCTCAGGACCGTGCTTTGTGGCATTCTTTGGGGGAGGCCTATGTTCAGCAGTGGATTTGTGAAGGGCTGTAATGATGATGATGATGATGATGAAAAAAAATCATATAAAAGCTAAATGTTCAATACTATAGTTTCATCAAATCAAATAGTTTATTTATGATTCACAGTTTACATAAAGGTCTTTTTTAAACACAAATAAAGTTCAATCTGTGATCAGCCTCATGGGCATCATCATAATCATCATCATTACAGCCCTTCATAAGTCCACTGCTGAACATAGGCCTCCCCCAAGGAATGCCACAAAGTACGGTCCTGAGTTACCGGCATCCATCGACTTCCTGCATGTCTTACCAGGTCGTCACTCCATCTAGTGGGGGCACGCCCTACACTTCGCCTAACGGTACGAGGCTGCCACTCGAGAACCTTTCTTCCCCATCGGTTGTCGGTTCTTCGAGCTATATGGCCGGCCCACTGCCACTTCCGCTTACCAATCCGTTAGGCTATGTCGGTTACTCTGGTTCTACTGCGGATATCCTTATTTCTAAGTTTATCACGCAGAGAAACTCCGAGTATAGCCCTCTCCATAACTCGCTGAGCGACCTTGAGCTTCCTCATACGGCCAGCAGTGAAGGACCACGTCTCAGATCCGTAAGTCATCACTGGCAACACGCACTGGTTGTACAATCTCGTTTTCAGGTTTTGAGGTATGTCTAACGAGAAGATGTGTCGTAGTTTCCCGAACGCTGCCCAGCCGAGTTGAATCCTCATGGGCATATAAATGTCAAATATTATTAATAGTTCATTGATTACATTATTCATAATAATAGATTAGATTATTAGATTAAATTATTCATCATAAATAATATTGATTATATTGGATTAGAATAGATTATTCATAAATTATTAGTTCAAAATTATTATATAGTCCTTGGGTTTATTATAAGTATTATGTCATCTAATACAGTCAACCGGACATTAACTCTGACATTCGATATAATATGTAGGTAAACGACCGTATACTTCCGAGCGCGCGTTTAGTACTGAACTTAGCAAGTTGCTACTGCACGTTCGCTCTCTCGGATTGTGACGTCACGTCACAGAGAAAGAGCGTGTAAAAATTAAAAAATATTGCGAAACTTCAAAACGTTATAACTTTCGTATTTCTGCACCAATTTGGATGAAACAAAAACTATTGTTATTTTCATAAACATAGCTTTAAAGCTATATAGGTTTTATTGTCAAATTAGAACATGTTGGTGTGACCCATTGTGTTTTGTTATTAGTGTGGTTTTAAGTTGTAATTAATGTTCTCTAACTACAGAGTCAATTTTGGTAATTCACTCGGCAGTTTTTAATTGTCTCGAACCCCAAGCTCGTAACAATAAATATGTAGTAATCACTCAAACATTCATAATATCGGGTCTTGTCGTCGGCTCAAAATATTCCACAAGGCTTTAAAACTGTGGAAGTGTTTATAAAGGCAAGACCGCTTCAGATAACATCGTTCAGAGAACCGTAAAAGGACAAACTACTTACCCTAACCTTTGTTAAGAAAGGATTCTTATTACGACATATGTTCTGCATCTACAGATTTGCTACATATAATTTTCAGACTGTTTTTTGATATCGATATATATATATATAATTGTAATATAATTCCACTCATTTTTATTAAACTACAGTGAAGGAAAACATGTACAACAACATGTAAACAATTAAGAACCTACTTTTTCAATCTGTCTGAAGTCGGATAAAAAGTCGTTATATTCTAACACCAATCTACTATGTTCAATAAGACGAAAACTCTTCACAATTCCACTTCAACTTCACTCTGACACACACACACCCACCCACACACATACACCAATCAACCACACACATACACCAATCACCCACACACCCACCCTCTTACACTCAATCACACATACACACACACATACAAAACATTTCTTTCTTTTTCTCTCTTTTGTTACTAGTTTAATCATTATCTGTAACAATATGACCTACACTACCTCCTGTGAGGAGAGACCTGGAGCTCTGAAACACAGGCTTTCAGCCTAGCTCAGACGCCAGTCTCTCACAATCTAAATATTTTTGTTCCTTGGTGTAAACCCCAATTCATTACTATATTAGTTTTTAAATTGTGAAGAAAATAAAGAATTTTTATTATTATTAGTATTAACTATTAGCAACATTTAATTTAAACTACATACAAAAATAGGGAGTTAGTGATAAGATATTTTTGACGGTTTCAGGAGCTAGAAGGCGGTGAAGAGACAGAATTTAATGTGGACGATCCACTTTACTGCGCCGATTGTAACATTAAGTTTAAGAACCAAGAGGCTTTCACGACGCATTTCGGTAGCTCCAAGAAGCACTCCAGCATAAATCTGTTAGTGTATTATTTACTAACATTTATTTCTTTTATATATTGACTTGTTAAACATAACATAGGAGCCGCTTAAACGTAATAATTCATAATTAATTTATTGCAATATACGGGGTTATTTTGCAATAACCGGCCAAATTTGCAGAGAAGACAGAGAATAAGTAGTATAGGTAAATGGTGAAGAAAAATTTATTAAAGAAAATCACAAACATTCTGGTCTTTTTATCTTTTAAATTCAAACTGCGTGGTAATGCATTATTTTAACTGATTTTACTGCGCACGTACACATTCGGCCACAGCAACCACTTACCATCAGGTGGACTGTGTGCTCGTTTGTCACCCTATCCTATTAAAAAAAAATAGTTTATTAGGTGTATAAAGTAAAGATTAAAATAAAGTTACGTTTTCATAACGGAAATCGAGCATTTGCTTTCATTGCTCTTCTTGTTTTTTATTGGGCTGCAAATCTAACGATTCATTATAAACATTCAAGATAAATATCGACAATTTTATTCAATAAAGTTGAGTCAATCCCTATTTGAAAAATGTATCCACCAAAATCATACAAATTATCAACGTGACTTTTTTTTTTGCAAAATATAAACATTAACAAGATTATTGTAATTATTCTAAATTTTAAACAGTATAAAACATACATTTTAATTTAAAAGGGACGCGTCATAACAGTGATGACTTCCTGCGATTAACGTGTGAAATGTGCAATTATCAGAATTATTTCTCTTGTTAACACCGCAGCCACAGAACAACCATTGTTGTCATTACATTCACTAAAAATAACAACGATTAAACAAAAAAAAATATTGAGGAGCTGTCATTCAAAATTAGTCACAGAGTCATGAGATGTGGTATCTTTTTCTATCTTGCTATATTGCCTTATATAATTTTGTTCTTTGCACTCTATGGCCGTGTACCATTATCCTAAATTTATGGTCCACACTATGGCCATGTAAAAATAGTTTTATTCAATATGTAGTGTCCGCGTAAATATAAGAAATCATTATAAAAAGCTTTTATTCTCTGTGCTTAAAAAATAAGTAAGCACCCCTGAAAGTTTGAAGATATTATCTGTCTTCCATTATTATTGTTTGGGGTATCTATATAGATTTCTCATCAGGTTGGGCTGTTTTATTGTTATTTATTAATAAAAATTGAAGTAAAGATGTGTATTTTTTAGCTCCATCACTGGCAATAGCCAAGTGAAGAAGCGAGAAGGTAGAAAGCGTAAGGTATCCCGACGCGACACGTCGGTGATATTAAACAATGGCATGCCAACTTCAACGCAGTGCGAAGTGGTGAGTTTTCAAGCTAGTAAGCTTTTTTTCCTCGTAATGTATACAACTATATATGTAAATTAAACTGAAGTATCTGTCTGTTATAGCAAAATAACTGCCTTTTCTCTGATCTCAGGGGCTAATTGGCATTTCATTCAGACAAGAATAACAATTTGTAAAATATTTGTTTGCCTGTTTGTCTGTCTGTAAGAGGGAATCTTGCAATGTCTGGACTGACTGTGATGAAACTTCACGGACAAATAGAGAGCAATACCAGGAGTGATCCGGCAAAAATTGGAGTACTTTTTTGTGAAATCGTAAAATTGATAAAATAAATGGTGATTGATGATTATTTTAAAAATCTTAATGAGGCCACATTAATAGAGGATCTATTAATGTGACCCAGGCGAAGCCGCGGCTTGGTTGCTAGTAATTTAATAACAATGAACGGAATTATAGCACAGAATAAATAATAGTACTACGTACCGAAGTTGCATTCTTTTAATGTTGACTGCTTGCCGACGTTTTAATAGCCTACATAGTTATTATTAATCAGATCAATCGCGCACGCAAGCTAAATAAGACTTTATCGCTGCGCGCGAATGTCCGTATTACTTTGCATCTTTTCTCCTTACTACGTCACAACGGACTTTCCGTGGTTGCTAAGGGCTGTTAATAAAGAGTAAAAAAATACATTGTGAAATAGTAATATGCTTAGGTAAAGTACCTATGCTGACTATAGTCGACCATATTATCTACTATGTGAGTTCTGTGATGCCCAACGCATGCAACTTCCAAGGCCATTCGTTGGGAATCGCGATGCTTGGTTCGTATGGGTATTTAGCGTAAACAACAAATAAACCCGAAATACGATTCCTAACAGAAATATGATCGTAATCTACTTAGCTGAAAATCTTGTAAACAAATTTTTAATTTCAGTATTTTGTGCTATTATAACTTAAAATATTTTAATTACAAAGACGAGTATAAGTATGTAAGTAGGTATTTGGGTAGTGAAGTAAATCTTAACTAAGTTTTGTGATAAAGTACTTAGGTATTACTTCTGTAGTTAAATGATTACTTTTTTTTATAGGATCGGGTGACAAACGAGCACACAGTCCACCTGATGGTAAGTGGTTACTGTGACCCATAGACATCTACATCTATCCTCAATAAAAACTCAAGATGCATATGCGTTGTCACCCGTGAGGACTAAGATGGAATGCCTCTTTGCCAGTAAAAAGGGTCTCCGGTTCTCTACACTCACCATACGAAACACAGCAGCGTTAAGCTGCTATTTTACGCTGGTTTTCTGTGAGAGCGTGGTCCTTCCCCGTTCGAGCCGACCCATTCGTGCTACAACCATAATATACTAATTACTACTTAATTATTTTTTCGCTATAAGTACCTAACTAACAAAAAAATGAAATAAATTTACCTTTCATTATCATTATCCTTCGATAACTCAAAAAATGATATATCTGAATCCTTTTAATTACTCGTTAAGCAACCATCCCCACAACAATTATAGTAGGAACGACGTTTTGCCATTATAATTTATCAAATAGATAGGTAATATACATATTGTATATTATTCTTAAATTACATTAAAACTTTTTCAACTATTTTATCCTACAATTAAATATACTAACCACTAAACAAAAACTATTTCGACGAGTATTTTAACAAGTATTTACAAAAAAATATTTACGTAAACAGCGTTAAAAAAACAACATTAAATCGTATAGAGCGCGCTAGCCCCGACTGCGATCTACCCCTGGGGCAGCTCGCGATTGTAGGTAATTATTTCACGCAGGTAGCAAGAGTGACAGAGGCCTGATTATAGTACGACCGTGTATTCACAGTGTACTAACAGTTGTGACACGCCTTTGATGTTAGGCGACGCCGCCCGCGTATATTTTTACGCGGCCAGTGTCACGAATATGGAAATAAAATAATTTCGGATATTATAATACTCCATATAATTTATTAATATTATGTGCGTACTTATAATTAAAAAAAAAACATTTATTGAACAAGATCATTTTTTTATTTCTACAAGATTAAACATTTACAAGTGTTGCACTGCCAAATATTTTCGTGACACTTTCTTTTTATAGACGTTTTCAGTTTTCGATTGTTAAATTTATGTAGTGTATTTGCATTAACAATTTTATCAAAAAAAATATGAGGGAAACATAAGCATGGCCGTCATTTGAATTAAATTTTACTTAGTAAATCATATAATACATCATTATATAACAGTAATTCACCATTATAGATATAAAATTTTTCGAAAACGGCCCTTAAAATTAGTTAAATAAGTATTGTAAAACACGATCGCGCCAACCGCATGTATTGTCTATCAGACTGTGAAGTGACCGTGAAGTGCGATAGCACAAGTTCGCCGCCCGCCGCCTGACTCGCAAGGCTCTCACCGTTGCTCTCTACAAGTTATAAATATTCGTTTCCCAACTGTAAGGTGTCTTTAAACTGTTGTGTATTGGCGTTGTAAGAATATCCACTACCCCATATCGTCGTGTGTCTTCTTAATAAATGAAAAATAAAGAAACTGCGGTTGCCAACCTGCCCACTAAATGGCTATGGCACAACTATCCCCTCTAAATGGCTGAACCAATCGTAATGAAACTTCACCAACGGATAGAGAGTAATGCCAGGAAGGATCTAGTCTATATTGTACCTAAATAATTTGATGATTTTTTTTTAAAGAAACGAATAAAAAAATGGTATTTGATTATCTTAACTCTAATTAACGCCACATTAATAGATCCTAACAAGGCCAGTCAGGGTGGATGGCTAGTACTATAGTAAAATTGACAAGAGTGTATAAATGTTTCAGTGCAAGAAGTACCTGTTGAACGACGTGCAAGCACGCAAGCACTACGTGGCCGAGCACCCCGGCGTCGAGTTCCTCAAGCGGTACATGTGCGATGTGTGCGGACACACTACTAAGGTATACACGCATTACAATTATTGCAAAATAATATATTATTATGTCGTTGTGCTAACATAGCACAATATTAAATAATAATTACTAATATTTTATTTAAGATTTCGCCAAGTGTTCGATCCTTATCAGATTCTAACATCAATCTGAATTACAAAGGTAAAGGTGACAATGAGCACCCAGTCTACCCAATGGCAACCCTGCTTGGGTTGGGTTGGACATGCAAGCTGTATACGAGCTGTATTGATGTTAGTTCTTATACTAGAGGCTGTATTTTATATACAGTAGCTGTACAAGCTCAAAAGAGGTTGTATAATAGCTGTATTGCAGCTGTTATTTGGGGTGAAAGGAAACTATTACACTATAGATATTGTCTTATAAGTAATTTTTTAAGACAAACGTTCTAAATTTGGGTTTGAATGGAGTTGTAGATGAATATAAAACAAAAAAAAACTTTATTTTCGATGAATAGATTGTATTTATATTATACTTTGTTGAATGATGGCGACATTTAATATCAGAGTAAAAAAAAATATTTAACATATTAATATTATACTTGGATTGGAGCTGAGTTTTGACGGTGATACTTGGTGAATTGAAAGTGCAAAATTAGATTTACGATAAACTTGTATATGTTTTCTATCAAAAAAGTGCCGCGCCAGCAAGAGAACAAAATAATATAAGGACAAAATACTAAATACCTTAAGAGCCCTCTTACATTTCGGCGTTTCGCAAATTTAGGTACTTTACGTACCAAGCGGGCGGCGAGCTACGCGACCGATACTTTCTTTCATATCTATTCACTCGCTCGCACTATAATACTGTGAGTATGGTGATTAATCGATCTTGATCTTCCATAATACAAGTTTTCTTAGGATGGACTTCAGTGGATGGAAATTTTTTTGGTGTGTCATTTTAATGTTATCTTATTAATTTATTATTGTATAATTATATAATTTATTATTATTACCATTTTGATATATTATTCATTATTTATGAAATTGTGTGTCAAAATAAGTACACATAAATATTTTAATTGTTACGCCGTAATCGAATGTTAATAATCGATTATGTCTACTACCGGTAGAATAGTGGTATAAATTAATAAATAGTACGGTTGCAATCTGTTTTAATAAATATAACAACCAAATGTAACTAATATTTTTTAATCAGTACTTACAGTCAATTACCATATTTCTTATTAGAAAAATATTTGCTGCTACGGCATTGACCGAACTTTTGAGTCGATAATTTCAGTCAGTATACACTTTTTATAAAAAGCTTGTAACTTGAGTAACATATTGAAAATTTAAATTTGGTCGTCTTTGTAAATTTTTAGTACTTTTACTGCATAATCTGGGCCAATACATATTATGGCAAGTATTCAGACATTTTTATTTGCTAAATGAAGTTGGCCTTGGATTTGGTAAAACCAGTCCTTATTTTGATTTAATGTTACACTTGAATCACTGAATTTATAACCTTTAACTTTTTTTTGTCGAAAAGCCGTGTCAAAATCTATTCCGAAAAGCTGAAATAGGACATTTAACTTCAATTAGACCATCGCTGTATAAACCATTAGGTGAAGCCCTCAAATAACAATGATCTAGGTCAATGATTAGACCACATTTTTCTAGAATAATATTTTCTTCTTTGCTCAATTGTGCCAATGCTACAGACTCGTTGTCCCTACCATGTGTAATGGAAGAAACGTGATCTAAACTATAACTATATAAAATAGTTTTAAACCGATCGATCAAAAATTGCGGTCGTAGTTAACGATGCTCTAGCATGCAGGCAATCGACGCACACTACGGTAGTATCGAAACGATGCAGCGCCCGAAATCAACTGACGCAGGTCCAACCTCGGCAAGCGCTCGCGCGTTAATGATCGCAGATGGCCGGCGCAGTGAAATATATAGTACCTTTATTTGATTAATTAGAATATAATAGTAACGATTTAAAAAGTGAAAATAATAGTATAGTTTAAGCAAATATTGATGATTATTTTGGTATAAATTTTACGTCTAAATGATGTAGAACTTCGGAAATATAGAGGCTTGTATAAAAGCTTTTTCGGTCGTTTTATGAATTACGTAGATATTTTTTCCTAGCGTGAAAGGCATAATATAAGAAAAATGTATTCTATCATTATTAAACTGTAGGATATTTGGAAGATAAAAATATTTTTTTTGATGGTCGATATTCAATAGAATCTACAAATTAGAGCTCCCAAATCATGTCTTCGAGAGTTTTTGCCTAAACATGCATCGGGAGAATGATTATTACTGATTTAATAAATAAGTTATCTAAAATCCTGTCTGAGCTTATTTGAGGAGAGAAAGCGAACTATTTTTACCAAGTAATTGTTATTTCAAGCAACTAACGATAAACATACAATTTCAACGAGGAAACCTTGTAATTTCGCGTCTTTTTTGTAATACGCCTCTTAACTGAAAATCGGGTATGTATAGGTTTGAATAAAAAAATATTAAATTAAGGGATATAAAGGCACATTGGAGCACAGTGATCATTAATCAAAGTGAAAATAATGGTATAGGCTCAAACTGATGTCTAATATTCCTAATACTAGCTGTTCCCCGCGACTTCGCTCGCTCGCGTGTTAGGGTTTTTATGTTTTTGCGCGGAACCCTAATACTTTTTCTAAAATAAAAGTAGCCTAATTTAATCCTTATGAAATCAACTATCTCTCAGTGAAAGCCGTTAAAATCGGTCCAGCCGTTTCGGAGATTACCCGGAACAAACAGACAGACAAAAATTTTAAAAATTGTATTTTAGTTATAAGTGCCGTATTTATTTTCATATGCATTTAGTAAAAAACTTTAATTTTGATATTACAAACAGACACTTCAATTTTATTTATTTGTATAGATTATATTTTAAATTTTGTTTTTATTCCTAAAATGGCGACAATTTATTAAACAGCGTAAACTAGCTTGCTACATATTTATTTATCTATGGCCTAAACGGTAATTCGAGGGTCTTTATAGTCTTAGTGGCTGTACTATGTATATTATGGATTTTATCATGCATCCATTGGTTTTTAATTAGTTGTATAATAGAATATTTTTATTACTTACGCTGTATAGCAGTTTTTTTAACATAACAAATAATTCCCTTTAGAGATACGTATAAAATATGAAAAACCGTGTTTGGAACAGTGTTAGATAACTTTTATTTATATTTAACATGATTTTCTAACTGCACCAAATCTCTATCTTTTTTTCTAAATATTGATAAAAAATAATTTGGTTCACTAGCACAATATAAACACACAACGCATGCAAAATGGGGATATTCCATCACTTTTATAGATTTAAATTGTACTATGGCTGTTATTTATTTTTTTAGTTTTATATCAGTCATAGGCAGAAGTCATAAAACTACTGTATTTACAAGTGTACAATTATCCTGTAAAATAAGTTATAGAAGGGACTTGACAAAATACTTAAAGTTGTATACTAGAGTTTTCATATTCTGATTAAAAACCCTAAGCCTACTTATATCCCATAATTAAGACTTTATTCAGCTTAAGCTGTATAATAACTCATAAACCTCTCTTATAAGGATACAATCTCTTTTCGACACTCTTATAAGCTTCTAAAAGAACTATAAGTTCTATATGGGCTGGTAAATTGATATTCATAACGCTTGTGTGCTGCATGTGAAGTAGACATCTATACCTACCCTCAATTAAAAATCAAAATGTTAAAAGAACTTTTTAAACCGCATCTTGTAATAAACGTCTTGTAAAAGGCGGATTAAGATTAACATTGCTAAAATGGTGTGTGTTTGTTGCAGCAATACGCAAACCTAATGGTGCACATGCGGACTCACACGCACGAGAAGCCGTACGGATGTCCGCACTGTGATCGACGCTTCAGCATGCCCAGCAACCGGGATCGACATCTCGTTGTGAGTATCCACTTATACAAGGTTATTTTTCAAAAACTATCCAAATTTTATAATTCAATTCAAATGTATAAATAATGATATACCGTTATTGCAGTTTTTGAAAATTCGGGTAAATAAGGATTCTACTTTTATCGGAAATAATCACAAATTGAATACGCTCCTCTGTGACGAGCGACCCTTATGAATGGGTGCGTGCGCAGTAAAATAGTAGACGTTATATATTTACGAATGATAATCAGTTAAAACAATACATTACCATGCATTCTGAATTTTAAATATTTTTTTTAATTAATTTTTCTTCACCATTCGCCTATATTACTTATACTAATCCTATTCTGCAAATTTGGGTGCATATTGCAAAATAACCCTGTATAGTGTTTTTATTTCACGATGCCGAGTTGGTCTCGCTTTTGAGTGTAGGTGTACTTGCACATTGTTTTAGTGTGTGTAAACTCAAAAGCATAGTGTGAGTTAGCTGAAGAGTCAAAAGTAAGCGTTAGCTGACTAACGCTACTTGCAGTTGTTTACACCTTACACAATCACATACATCACAACTACAAGTAGAGCTCGCCTGCCCTCATGAGATAAAATATCTATACATCTCTCTTCTTTTTTACTCTAATCTTTATTTTTGATAATAACTACAAAAATTACAATCGTTTATTGTGATGAATACTTAATCCATACATACTACATACAAATATATAAAAATGAAGTGTCTGATTGTAACAGGTGTTTTACTACATGCGTATGAGAGTATATACGGTACTTATAACAAAAACACAATTTTGAAAAATGTTGTCTGTCTGTCTGTTCCGGCTAATCTCCAAAATGGCTGGACCGATTTTGACGGGACTTTTACTGGCAGATATCTGATGTTATTAGGAGTAACTTAGGCTACTTTTATTTTAGAAAAATAATTAGGGTTCCGCGCAAAAAAACTTAAAACCCTAAATTACACGCGGGCAATGTCGCTAGTGTTTATATAAAACGCAATGGTCATCATCATTGTAATCTATCACAAGTTCACTGCTGAAAATAATCCTCCCACTGGAAATGCCTCAAAACACGTTCCTAAGCCGCCTGCATTCATCAACTTCCTGTATATCTTACCAGGTCGTCACTCTATTTAGTGGTTGTGCCCCTACACTACATGTCGCTTACTGGTACGAGGTAGTTAGTTGCTCGAGAACATTTCTTCCCCATTGGTTGTCGTTTCTTCAAGCTATATGACCGGCCCATTGCCACTACAGCTTACTGATCCGTTGGGCTATGTCTGTTACTTTGGTTTTACTGCAGATATCATTGTTACAGATCATACATATCACACACAAAAACTTCGAGCAAAGCTCTCTCCATCTCTCAGCTTGCTAAGCCACTCGAGTACACATTGAAAATATCTTAAGCTCTATCCATTGGCATGCATTTTTGAGGTCTATGAGTTAATTTTCTAAAGTCGTCCAACGATTCTGCCATACATGCATGATAGTGCTCATTGTTTGTTTTCCATCGGTTATTCAGACTAGGCCTTTTGTCAACAATATCTCAGTATTCCAATTTCTGGACCTGCTAAAAATTTGTGAAAAGTTACAATACATAAAATTTCATTTTAGTTTCTGTAATTACAAGAAACGATATATAAGTTGTATTACCATAATATAAAGCTCAATTTTAAGTAAAAGTCGTATTCTCTATTGTTAAAAGTGAGTAACATGTGCAGGTTCACACGGGCGAGAAGCGTTACCAATGTCAGCTGTGCAATCGTCGCTTCACACAGAGCAGTGCAGTCAAACTGCACATACAGACTGTGCACCTCAAGATTCCCTACGCACCCTGGGATAAGAAGAACAGGTACCTATTGTTTGTTAATCTATGTAAAAAAAACCCACTTAGTGGATATGTGAATCAACAACTATTATTTATAACTAGCCATCCACCCCGGTTTCGCCTGGGAGAAGTAAAGTTACAGCTTTTATACATCTGAGAATAGTGAAGGGCAAAGAAATTTCCACCATGTCGCCGCAATGCGTATTGGCAGACTACATATTTTCGAAATTGTTTCCTCACGATGTTTTCCTTCATTGATGAGCACGTCGATTTACCACCTAGAGCTTTTGTTGCTGACGGAGTTCGAACCTGATCTACCGTAGCTCTTATATGTTATATTAGTTTGGGTAGGATCTATTAAAGTATCGTCATTGAAATTGAATGTAATCATTAAATATGATTTATTTTACCAATGTTTCAATTTCACATAAAATTAAATTTTATTATTTTTTGAGATATAATAGCCTAGAGCACTCCCGGCATTGAAGAGGACCTTGTTTCCTCCCACAACCGCGTGCACTATCCCTGCCGCCACTTTATTTTTATTTTTGAGTTCGGATACTACGCCAAATAATTATTTCATCTTTTATAAACTTAATAATTTTTTGCAAAACAAAGTTTGATTCTATTAATTTATGAATTTAATTAAATATACTGCTGCTATATTTATGGCCAAATACTCAAATGCTGCTCAATTTTAGCATGTCTTTAAGTCATTTGGTGTCACAGTCACTTTGATTTAAAGTGATAGAGATAGCATGACACTTAACGGCATCTTAAAATTGAGCAACGAGTATTTCTTATTTCTTTATAGGATAATGGTATACATGGTGGTAGGTAGTTATATAAACAAACGAGCACATAGTCCACCTGATGATAAGTGGTTGCTGTGGGCCATAGACATCTACATCTATTCTCGATTACGAATCAAAATGTAGATGCGTTGTTACCCGTGAGGACTAAGATAGAATGCCTCGTTTCCAGTAAAAATATTTCCGGTTCTCTACTCACCATACGAAACAGCAGCATTAAGCTGCTATTTTTTACCAACATCTTTATTTTTTGGGTTGACTGCTAGAGACATTAAGTCCGCCCTTTGTAACCCCTGGTTGAAGGTGTGTTGCAATAAAGGATAAATAAATAAATACACCATATAATAGTGTGTGTATGTTTATTTTTGTATGACTTTTTTCATATATATGCTTTTTACTGCACAGAAAACGTCGCCGCGAGATGGAGGCTGCAAGCCTGCCAGTGATACAGCCGCCCGTGGAGCCAAAAGTTATCGTCGACACCAACACAGATTATCTCAATGCTTACATTTCTTACAACGAGTGAAAATGTTGCTCTCATATTATATTTTTTTAAAGAAGTTTAGTTTTAAAGCTACAAGCTACTTACGCAGGATGTGTTTTGGGGTAATGCTTTGTTTACAGAAACTAAATTATTTACATGTTTTAGATTAAACTTTTACCAGTTTAATCCTTAACTGTATATCGTGATTGTAATGTATTTACATATTTATGCTAATATGCGGTAGAGTTGTACTTTATCGAGGTTTTAGCCGGCTCTTCATGTTGAATGAAATATAGCGCTGTAGGTGTATGAAGCACGAACGCAAACACCACTTGTTTTTCTTTATACTTACCAAGTTGGTGCCAACTAATCTTATCTATTTTTGCCGGTTAGTATCAGTATTATTACTGTTGAGTTTTCTTTATTTATTATGGCATTAGCTACAATGACTAGCCAAAAATAAAGTAAACGCTGTTGGAGTATTGGCGAGAACTTGATGGCCAGCGGAATGCTGCTCCTGTATTATTTAAATAATGATTTCAATTGTATTTTGATACCCTTACCGCGAAAGATTCAAAATAGTTAAACAATCGAACTATTCATAAATTATTCACGGACAGTGAAATATTTAAATGTAAGCGCTTGTGAATTATTAGTGGAATCGATGTAATAAATGTATTGTGGGTGATATAAATCTCGGATGTTTTTTTATCCTCTACGGGCCTTGAGATATTATCGTCATCAATCATAGTATATCATATCGAGAATCAGACTAGGCTGTATGGTCTTAGACCTTTGCCTAGCTTGCATGGCGATTCATAATAACAAACGCTGTCGCTGTAATACATTATGCAGAAGGAAATATTTCCACAATATAATATAAAGTAATTTTTTTTACAATATATTGATGCATCACATTGGTATGTTATTTGGGAGATTTTGACGACAACATAAGCCAGCAGCAGCAGACACGGCGACATAATATCTTAAGTTTTCAAGGCGCCTTAGCGGACAGAATACCTTGAGGTTTATTTCAACAATGGACCTTGTTTCGTTGCTTCCACTTATATTTCACGTGCGCAGTCATTTAATACGCAAAATCGCATCACTATTACGTACCATAATCTACTTAAACCATTTACTAAACAATAAAACAGGAACAGGAATCCGCCGGTAGTTAAGTTCCCATCAAAACTAATCACTTCATTGTAGTTTTCCTGTTTGAGGGATAAGAAATCAGTACGTACGTACCTTGTAGCCTTCTTCGCTTATATTTGGTTGTCCGAAGGCTGTATGCCTTCATCATCAGATGGTTCGATTACTGTCATTTCTATTACTATTAGAATCTCGTATCTCTGACACAATCCAAAAGTCAGACATTTTCTCTGAACTTATCGTATAAGCTGTAAATCGGAAACTTACGGAGGTAGTGCCTTTATGGTTGCAACAAACGTAGCAATAATCGGCCGTCGGAAAATATTATGTCCTAAATTCTATTCAACATAAAACTTGTGACAACAGTCATAGAAAGTCGCCGTGGTCTCAATAATTAAGATATTATTAATTTTTCTAATTAATTATTAATAAGGGATACATTTTATATTCCTAAGGACATGATCTAAGATTAAATGTACACTAATCGTTACTCGTGTTTCCTGGTAACTATCTGGCGGGATACCAGATACTAGATATTTTATTGTGTATAATGGTGGTGTATATCTAATCACAACACAACCAAACCCGAAAAGCAACAATTTGTTTTTGCACAAATGTTGCAGAATTATTATGTAGGCCGGCGACGTGCAACAGCGTCAAAGTTGCGAGACCTCTGGTACTGCGATTGTCACTCCGCCTGCCAAGTACGGTGATGAGGCCCATGCTTAGCGGTAAACTTTTACTGGCTGATGATGAAGAAGAAGATCCTAAACTCTGCACTCGCGACAGAGTAGTCGGACATTCTCACTACTAGGCCTCGCGATTGTCGCACCTGCAGTACCGAAATTATAAGGTTGTACTTTGGCTGATCGCACTTTTGATGCCCACATTAAAAAGGGACAGCCCATTGTTTATATTAGACACATTTTATGAATTCGAGCTTTGGCATTTCTAAGAGGTTAATTCAAGTAATTGGTTGCTCGACTTGGAATTCAAAGCCATGAACCACACGATGTTTACGTAAAGTCTACAAAAGTCTATATAGAATGTGTATATACATTGCGAATTGATAGATTTTTATGAAATGGGTCATTTTTTACCGTGTGTAATAAAATAATTACACCCTTTTTTAAGCTTAATTTTTGAGTATTAAGGTTAGTTAATAAATAAATCTGTAAGAAAATAAAGAAGTGTGAAATTTGTATGATTAAGCTATTTATATATTTATATATTTAGTTTAATAAGATTTTAATTTAATAAAATGTAATTTGCCTTAATGATTATGGTATTTTAATAAAGTATACTCATAAAAATGATATGTGATTATTTTTTGTTGAATTGTATTTTATTGAATTCCATTTTATTAGGTAGGTGGTAGGACTCATATTCTTTTTAGGAGGCCATCTGGATAGGTCTTTTCTATTCCTACTAAAAATTTCTGCTAAATAGCAGTGCGTGCTCTGCTGTGTTTCGGTCTGAATCACAGAACACAATTACTCTTTACCAAGAGAAGAACGCCAACTGGTGCGACTTTCCATTGACTCCCATCGAGTTTGGTGTTGATACGTATTTTTACAGAAAGGTTACATTTTTATAAGCACACACACAATGTCTAAATATGAGGAAACACGTACTTTTTGAGAAATAAATTAATAAAAATCACATCTTAACTATATTTTGTTGTTTTTTTTTAATTGGCTTTACGGCTCTGGGTTCTAGCTCTTTTATTACTAATTTCCATTGACATTCGTCGAATTGAGGGGGGAGGAGGTGTAGGAGGATTAATTCAGAGGGATTTCTGTATCTATTTTGAGACTGCAACGTCTCCGGCGCTGCGGGAAGAGCAGCCTCTACGCCTTTGCGTAACAAATCGCAGGCATCCCTCCTCGCCTCCGCAGCTGGCTTGTTGGTCGCCCGGTTCTATATAACCACTTTAGGGGTAGGACAGACTCGTACCACGTGGAGTCGGGGTCAATAAATTTGGTTTTTTGACATAAGTAGAACCTAACCTATTTTATTTATTATCTGCCCTAATAGGTACTGTTAAAATAAAGCAAATCAAATATAATTAATAATTTATTAATCATCCTTGAAAATTGCCATTAAAACTGATTTTACTGATAAGAGATGATTTATTGTATTATCTTTCTTTCTTTCCATAAGAAATCATTTATCATGGTATCTTATAAATGCAAACAGGAAAATATATCTATATTTTAGAAATCCATTTTTTGTGATATCACGACAGCTTACGATTCGAATCGATTTAAAAATCTATTTTTTTTTTCTCGGAAAGAATCGACATCCGTACTGATGACGACAATTTTACGCTAGGAATGTAACATAAACATTGCAAAAATAATTAATTTTCAAATAATGTTTTTTCTCAAAAAGGACGCGTTTTCGCATATTGAACTTTATGTGTGTGCTTATAATAGTGTAACTTTTCTGTAAAATACGTATCAACCCCCAACTCGACGGGAGTCAATTGAAAGCTAAGCCCAGGCTGGTGCAACTTCCATAGTAAAAATTATATGTACTACAGGGGTCAAATTTTAATGACGGTTACTCTTCTTTATGCTTTTCGTAATATGTCTATTAACGACATTGTCAAATGAAATAGGTTCAAATGTCAAATCAAACAATTATATTTGTATATATCTTATTAATTAAGATTGCTTTTAATTTTGCTATAGGAGCCGTTGTTCATTTACAGAATTGTTAAGAAATTAAATATGCATTATAAAACTTTCCAATTAAATGGTGCAAGAAGCGGAAAAAATTATAACAAGAAAAGGCTATTCGTAACAATATTTCCCTTAGATGATGAAAGGTATGTGGTGATTTCAACTTTAATAGTAACATGATATTCAACGCGAGTATATTTTTGGACTAGCCATCTATGTAGGACATGTTTTTATAGTGTACGATTGTGTGCACAAATACAAACACACTATTTCCTAAGTCTGATAGTTCGATGGTTTAGCAATCCGAAACGAACTATACTTAGAAACTACAAGTCAATTCTGACTGCTAACATTCTATTTGTTCAATAATAATGTGATTTTATTTATATTATTTTTTCAGATGTAAGCAATGGGTGAAATAGCTGGCACATGCACCAATTGAAAAGATTCACATGTTAAGACATATTTGTGACAAACATTGCATATGAACCCTACTAAAACGAACTGTTATTTCTTTAGTGGACTTATTTTAAACTTCCACAATTTATGTGTATGTTAATTAGGTTTCATTTACATGTAGCAAAAGATAATATCCCTCTAAAGTCACATTTTGGCAAGAATTAGATTATATAACTAAATCATTATTTTATTCATCAATAAACATTAGCTATAATGAGCACTTATTTTGAAAGCGACAATTAGTAAACGATCTCTGCGAATAGTATGTACATAGGTGCCTCTGTGAAGAAACCTAGCGATTTATACATAGTATTTGTTACACATAAAAGCAATTTAATCCAATCAATGTTAAAAACCCAATATTTTTACCCTTAAAAAAACTAACTTTGAAAACAAGCATCCAGACGCAGACTATTTATTTTAGAGCATAGCAACAATTGTTCAGTGCGGGAAGGAAGCCTCGGTCCTGCAATGCCGCAGCCAAACGCTTAACCACTGCGCTACGGGGTCGTCATTTATTTTTTATTTAATTAATTACTAGTATAAAAGTGCGTTTTTTATTTTATATTTTCTTTATACATACTTTTGTACCTAATTGTGGAGATATAAATACAAATTGCTGTGTGTAAAATACATTGATTTCATATCCTCATCGGCATTTTTACTCAATCCACACGTTTATTTCTCATAAATACTCGTAATTCAGTATAGAGATCTAACTTTTCTTATGTAGAAATATCG